ATATATATATATATATATATATATATATATATATATATATATATATATATATATATATAGGCCTATATTAATCCACTATGCGCATGTTTTTGTATTTTGCTTAAGTACACTTCTACAATCCTTAATTGTAGTAATCAAAATTTATTTTGAAAATGTTAAGAGGTATAAAATATAAAGTAACAATTAAAATTTTGGGCAGCCGGCACTGTCACCATGACACAAAGGTATAATGGTCAAGTCGCCCTAATTACATGAAATTAAAATGTAGGCCTATACCTTTTCAAAGCAAGGGAAATTAAATTGTGTATGCATATGCTATTTCCGGGCATCCAGGTCCAGAGGTGCCATATTTCCAAAATTTGCTCCCCTCAGCCATGGTGGGACTCAGGTGGGTAATAAAATTTAAACTTTCAATGTATTGGATGCACCTTGAGAGGAGGGGTGCGTCGACTCTACTAGTTACCAGCTGCTATCTCCGGGCATTCAGAAGGGCTAACCAAAAATGGTGGGCCTGGGTTAGGGCAATTTTCTTGGGGACTTTTTGGAAGGTCAAAAAAAAAAAAGAAAAAGAAAAAAAAATGATAGCCCAGAACTCATCAAATGTGATTTTCGGGCGTCTAGAACACAACAAATTCGCGAGGGCATGCCCCTGGACCCCCTGACATAGTGTTGTTTCGATCGGCCCAACTTTCGGCCCCTCCCCCCCCCCTTTTTGGACATCTCTGGATCCACCCCTGATAATTTACTTAAGTAGATAATATTCTATTTTACTTACTAAATCACATGCACCTTGGCAGAAAGGGTAACTCCCAATTTTATGACAGCATGAAGGATCTATGGAGAGAAAACATCATTGTTTAATTTTATTTTGAAAATCCAAATATATAAATATAAATATGACTATAGGTAGACATATGGCTAATTAATTGTTATTTTTAATTGTATACATGAATGTTGTACTTGTAAAACGCATCAGCAGAATACAATGAAACCTCAAATAGGAAGCCCAATGGGCTTAATCTCGAGAAGCCAATCTCGAATTGAAGCCCCCCCTCCCACACCCTCTTTTTTGCAAAAGTAGCCTCGAAAAGAATAACGGCTCGTGGTGGAACAAGTCTTCTCGGATATGGACCCAGTACATGCTTCGAGTAGGGGGATACTCCGATGTATTAGAACGGACAGGCCCTGTGCTGGACCGTGGACGACGAGAGTTGCTGGTACCGGGTAGCACAGACACGAAGGGACCCTTAGGGGCGAAGAAAGTAATTGATCGAGTTCCTAGTCCAATCAAGCGCCCTGATAATCTTACATTAGGTGGATATGTGCGCTATATAAAGCTACACTAGGTCTATTATTTATTATTATTATTATTATTAAATAATTAAGTTGTTGCAAAAGGGATCACAACCCATCAGTAATAAACTGACATCAAGCTGACGTATGGTTGTTTAGTTGGTAAGAGATTATAAAATATACGCCCCCCCCCCTTTGAATAAACTCCCCATCTAGAGCCTCACTTGTAATTGAAGTGTTTATTTATTCTTTGAATAAACGCCCCTTCCCCCGCCCAAAAAGTAACTGTAAACAAATCTAATGGAAGCAATATACACGCCTCCCTCGAATAAACGCTCCCTCAAAACCCTACTCCAACAATAAACGCACTGAGGCGTTTATTCGAATATATCCGGTAAATTGATACCAAAAGTTATAAATATTCTATTTGTAGCAGTTACAAAGAGTGCAAAACAGTTTCACAACATCAACCTCTCACATCACTGAATCAGTATTCTGAATCCATAGAACTGAATTGTTTTCGTTCGAGGATTAGACAGTGTCTGGTAAACTACATAAAAAGCACAAGATATTGCACAAATTTTAAAACTGCTTTTATTATCTTAATAATTACTGTACTGTAATGTACTCAACAAATATAAATTACTAATCTCTTCAATATGAAGAGAATCACTTAAAATTGGTAAAATGGTATAAAAACAAATAGTACATATACAAAATTATAGTTCAACACAGAAGGAATATTGTATAAAAAGTGATTGAAATATGAAAAATGTAAAAGTAAAACTGCCACATATTGTCCTGAACTGTGTATGGGCGTGGTTTGTGACTCCTTAGAGGAGCTCATGGTAACTTCGTTTTATATATACTAACATTGTTTGATAATTAATTGCTGCATGAGCTAACACAGGCCTTACATTCAAATCTGAACTCAAATTGTTTCAGAAGTCGAGAATCTAGATAACAATTGTGGAATTGGCGGATCCAGCCACCAGCCACCCCTTATTTGCCAACATCTGGATACGCCACGGGAGTTGCACCTCGATTAGGTGGATACTCGCGCGCTACTATTATTTTTATTATAAATCTACACAAAACTAAATAAAATTGACATACTTAGTATGCAGAAATGAACGAGTGCAATAATATGCAGCAAAAACGAAGGCAAACTAAAATACTTATATACACACACTAATAATAATTTTACAATCTTGCCACATTATCTTTAGCTATTTTACAAAGATCAATAATTATTTTAATTATTTACATAAATATATTAATCTACAAAATATTAAGTTAACTTTCTTGAGGAAGTTGTTGGGTACAGCATTCCCCATTCAGGTTCTGAACCTCATGGTCAGGAGGTTCCAATCACGCGCTAGCCATTCTTGTTGGTTACCGTAGTGAAGTGATTCACGCTATGTTGCAGCCCTAAATGCAATAATTTCAAAACGGGTTTTCTGCAGACACTAAAATTAATGGATGGTTTTTATATGTAAAATTAAATGCTTTGATTGAATTTTTTAGGGTTTCCCTAATTGATCGCAGACTGTACTATATTAAGCATTACAGATCGTAGTGTGGTGGCGCAGCGGTGTGTTACATTCTCTCAGATTTGAGGTCAGAGGTTCGAACTTTAACTGATTTCGCTCGTGCCTTTGGGCAAGGCACTTTGCCTTTGTTTTTCTCTCTCCACCCAGGAGTCTAAATGGGTACCTTGCAGGATGATTGAATGTAATAATCTGTATCAGCAATAAATTACAATCATGACTAGGAATACTCCCTAGGGAGTGGAGAATATAACACTTTGTGCTGGAATGAAACAATTAACCCAATGATCAAGGGTAACACTAACATCACCAGGGCTTTATATCCCTTGACAAAAGGTGCGGTATAAATCCCTATATTAATATTCTACTGGAAGCTAGTTATTATTGCAGTCTTTCTGGAAAAAGAATAATAGATAATAAAATAATAATAATAATAATAATAATAATAATATCAATATTTACAACATAAATATTCAACTATTTTATTTTTAATAAAATTGTTATTAATTTTAAGATAATAATAGTAATACTAAATTGGTACATAATAAAAAATTATGACAATAATTATTAATAAAAGTAATACTACTGACATAAAAATTAATAATAATAATAATAATAATAATAATAATGTATTAACAAATACGTTCATAATAATATGAAAATGACAACATTATTAATATATTGTAATACTACTGATTATGATCATAAAAACAAACAACAATTGCAAAACATCAATAATATAAAAATAATAATTACAAGAATAATGAAATAATATGAAATATTTATTAAGAAATATTAATTTAATTATCAGCATATATTAACTATATCATAATTTACAACAGTATCATAAATCATTTAAAGTTGTAAATATTCAATATAAGACCAAGTAATAACAAAATATTAATGATAATAACAGAAAAAAATTACATTGGTAATGTAATAATAGTACAATAGCTTTAAAATAAAAGTTATGATCACAACTTACAAAATAATATAAATAATAATCCTGCACCTTATCGATTTTTAATGTAAAATACTTGATTTAAGTGGGTATTTCCTATTTCATTTTAGTAGTAGCAGTAGTGTATATATATATATATATATATATATATATATATATACATACCAGAGGTGTTTAAGGTAGGAGGTGATGTTTTAGTAACAGAACTTCTTGAGGTATTTCATATCTGCTGGCAGTCAAAGTCTATTCCTCAGGACCCAAAGGACTCCAACTTCATAACACTCTACAAAAACAAGGGAAGTCGACAACTGTCTCTTATACACATCTAGATGTGTATAAGAGACAGATATATATATATATATATATACTAAGAAAATATACTGTAATAAATAACATGGAAATAGCTTATTATCTAAATGACAAAAAAATATACGGTTGCCAGGAAATTGTTTCAAACTTGGGCTTTAGGACAGAAGGAAGTCTGTGGGTATAGGATACAATGGATTGACTTGAATCTGAAAAAAAAAAATAATACACAGAGTATGAAAAAATACTTTTAAAAGCAAATAGTTTTCATTGTTAAGCTTTATATCTTGGTGAGTAATTAAATTTCAATTACTGTATCAATTATTCAGCAATTATTAAATAATTTGCGAGTAACTACATTGTGATGTACATGCAACGAAAAAATTTGTCCACTATATGAAATATCATAACATCAATTTCAACAAATAATTTTGACTTTACATAGAAAATCCTTGTTGCCTGCTGCCAATTTTAGGATCTATTATGTGCCAAATTTTTTCATAATGATAATATACGGTATCAGTTTTTCATTTTATCAGTCTCAACAGCGATGAATAAGTGATTACACCATTCACAGTACTGTGAATTTGTATGGAGATTTTTATAAACTATAATATAATTCACATGTGATAATGTAAATGTATATAACATATAATTTAGGACTAGTAGTACAGATATTGTATGCTTAAAGCAGTTGGGTTTTCTATTTCCTTTTAAGTGTTTCCAAAAATAAAAATGATTCCTGGATATGTAAAATTTTAAAAAGTAATTTTTAATTTACAAAATTCTTCTTTTTTAGTTAAATAGTTTGGTTTATAGGGGTCGTACTTACAATTTTAACTGAGTTTTTTCCAACTGATATTTCAGATAATGAACATTAATGGCAGAAATTTCTAATAGATCAATAAAGACAAAATACTAACCTTGTTGGATCATCATTGATTGAAAATGCAGGGTTGTGTAATAACATTTTATTTGTGCTATCCGTTCGGTAGCTAAGAGTAATCTATTAATAAAAAGGAAGGGTATCATGACTTCGGACAAACATACAGAATGACATAATAATTAAATTCACAAATTGCGTCTGCAATCATTGTACATTCTCTTCAGGAGCAGATACAGTAGGGGGCACTCCCCCCTCCCGTTTTGCCAATATAGTTTAAAATTTCATGCATATTGATATTAACACCACATCTATTCTAAATATGTTGTGCCCCCCCACCCACCCCCCCCCCCCCCCCCCCCTTTGAAAAATTCTGGATCCACCCCAGCTCTTTGTGTATAAGTAGTAGATAGAGCTGTGTTTGTCTTGTAGATGCATGAAATAAAAATACTGACAGCACTTTATACTACTACACATGATGTAAGTGCCACATCCTAGTTTCCATTATTTGCTGCCCTCTTTAGTTTGTTTCAGTTTTTAAAGTTAGCTAGTATTAGTAATAATTGCAGGTGTATCAAATGCAAAGTATGTCTGCTTCTCTATTTACTACTTTGTTTGCTATCCTTTGTTTATAGTTTAGTTAATCAAGTTGTCTAGCCAGGGCAAGACACACTTGCTTTCCCCTGTGCTTGCTTTCCCCTGTGCTTGATGGCACTGCCACTGTTTAGGGTAAATTATGTTGCTTTAAAAAACTATTTTTTTAAACAAAAGCGGTATTATTAAAATTATATCGAATTTGTGTATTTCAAATTCTTTGTTTTTATACATTAATTAGCTTGTTATCTCTCAATATCTGTCCAATATAACTGTCTATGTGAACCTTGAAAATAAAATCCTATATTTTATTTATCTATTTATAATTTATATATTTAGGTTATTAGCATTCAATTGAAAATTTCAATAAGAAAGTATTCTCTATGGCAATTAGAAGAATAAAAAAATATTTTCATTCAGTTCTTTGAATAGACCTATAATAATCCAATTAGGAATTTTCATTTAAAAAATTGTAAATCAGCAAACAATAAAAATGTTTTGGTCTGAAGTGTTTCAATGGAAGTCGACAAGATTTCAATACTGCAATTTAGTTTTGAGGGTGATTCCAGTTTTATTGTTTACCCTACATAAAGGTGCTACTGTTTGTAGCTTTTAAGAAATGAATAAGAGAAGGAACGCATTAAAAAGATTTAAAAACTGAAGGTAAAGAACAGCAATAAAATGGTTTAATAGCTCTAAAGATTAACTTAATTGTATTGAATAGCAACAACATGAAGCGCCTGGAGGTCGCTGACCTTTGTATTTACCTGGTTCTTAATGTCGTCCGGTTTGATAGCCCATAGGTCTTGTAGATGAGAATTCATTTTTTTGATGTGTATCATTGGTACGTTTAGTAGAATCTCTGAAAGCAAAATAAAGTGCAATGAATATGCAGAAGCACAGAGGGTAGGCCTACTGCGTAGGCCTACTGTTGCATATTACCAGAGTGAGTCATAGAATTCTTACTATTACTGTATTATATTGTTACTATAAAGTTAAACAACATGACCTATCAAGTGTGAATAACAACTTGACTTTAAGTAAAATTTTCTTAACTTTTAAATTAAAACATAAACATGACTTTTCATGTGACTCATAACTTCGGTTATTTATGGTTAGGCCCTATAACAAAAATGTATTAGTCTGTCTAGGCTGGGAAAATGAGGGAGGGAGGGAGGCTTTTTATTTTTTATTTTGCTAAAGCGAAATATCACCATTGATGTTCAAAGTAAATTGATTGATGATTGAGATAATACAAAAAATATCTACTAACTATCCACTAAAAAAATGAAAAAAAACAAAAAATGTTAACCCCAAAAAAAAAAAAATTAAAAAAATATAAAATATTTGTTAATACCATAGAAGAAATATGCAAGAGAGTGATAAACTAATACATTTTTTATTAGGCCTTATATGTATATTTATATAAATAATTAGCTTCTGAGGAACCATAGGGTTTATTGATAAATTTGACAAAAAACGTGAAGCCCATGATTATGATCAGTAGGGTAATAAAGAGGCTCCTGACTAAGGCATCTTTGGGCCCTACTACTCTGAGGGCTGGTTGAAGCTCCCGTCCACTCCAGTATGGAATATATTTAACACTTTCCTCTTGTTAAAAGGCTGATTATTTTCCAGGGGCTTTAAAGTCCAGGGAACCTTAATGACTTCAGATTATTGAAACAAAGCTAAAAAAATGTGAAGCAAGTTATTATGATCAAAAAGGGTCCTGATACTAAAGACTGTTTTCCACTAGGCGAATTTATTCGTGCGAATCAAATCTTCGGTACTCTTTCTGAGCTCTGATTGGTTGCACATTTTTTTGCTTCGCTAAAACCTAACAGAAATGTGAACGCGCATCCGTATCAACCGACGCTTTCGATTTGTGCGAATAATTCGCCTAGCGGAAAACTTAAGGTTTCTTTGAATCCTACTACTCTGGGATCATGCCCAGTGAGGTACAGGGTGAAGCTCCTACCCATTCAAGTGTGGAGTAATTTGATATTGTTTACACTTTCCTCTTATTAAAAGGCTGATTAATATCTAGGGGCCTTAAAGTCCAAGGCCCTTAAAGTCCAGGGGCCCTTAATGTCCAGGGCCCCTGGCTTTAGCCAGTGAATTCATAAGGGTGATGCCATTGATTATGAATCTTATATTCATATTAGAGTAATAATAATGCTTTATACAATTTCAACAAGATGCAGATAACTAATTATAAAACTAACTTTATTTTCATTCTTATTTCACACTTTATTTAAATAGCTTTGTATATACTTTATATACACTGCAATGCTGAGACAAATAAATATGTCTTATATATTGTGTATTGTATATGGTTATGAACAATAATTCTGATCATTTATTATCATCATTATTATTTTGTTATTAAAACACTTCATTTTTTCACCAACCAATACATAGTTATAGGCCTAAGTAATATCATTATACTGTATATTCAGAGCATATAATGTATAGTATATGTATTCTTGTTCATGATTAACTGAGAAATCTTAATAATCAATTTGTAATAATAATAATAATATTGTTTTGAAATGAAGAAAAAGAAAATTTTAGGAAGCACTAGATTTTGAGGGTCGTGCAAGAGGATGGGAAGGGATTTGAATGGCACAGAAGTTACGTGCTTGCAATTCCTATTCCCTCTGTGGCCTGGAGGATTGCTGTAAACCATTGAGAGAAGATTCGTGAAAGCAAACTCTCCCTCCTATTCTGATGTTTTCAGAAAACTCTGTCAGTCACTACCCCTCTCTACTATCCATTCAATTGCCTTTAAAAGATTTCTCAGGGCCTATTCTTGTTATTCTTGTCTTCTTGTTTTGTTTACCATTACACAGCCATTGTACCGCACAATACTACACCATCAAAGGAGTATGAGACATGCGAAACGACTTAAATAATCTTCTTTCTTGTTCAGCTGTGTTTGTCTACTCTACTTTCAGCAGTGTTTTGTTTACAGAATTAATGGCAATGAAATCAATGCCTATAGACATTTAATATTCAGAGAAAGTAATATAAAAAACTGACCTCACCTAAACTACCTAAAAATCTCCCTAAACTAAAGAACTATTTATAGAAATTATGTTGTAGCTTGTTGCAATGGAATGATAAGTATATGCAATAAATGTGTATAGATATACGGTTGTAGTATAATTTTAAACAGCCCTAATATAAAATAAGAATATGGCTGAATTAAATATTCCTTACTAATTAACATACACATAAACTTCCTTTCTTTCTTTCTTCTTTATATATCATATATTATGGCGAGTAATATTATTTTGTTTGCAATTTGTTCATTTGTTTTCCCAACTTGTTAGTATGTGTAAAAAGCCACGGCCTTCCAAAAAATACTCATGCTCCCCATTCGCGCCCCACACAAAAATCACGGTCAAGTAGTTAAAAATCACCTAAAATCACCTTATTTTGCGAATTAGCGGCCCTTGACTTATCATCGAGACCCCCCCCCAGTTAACCTTCGTGTGCATCCATCAGCACCCCCATTTCTAGAATTGTAGATGCACCACTGGGTTGTGATGCGAGGTGGAAGTGAAACTGAGGAAATATATAGTATTAGGAGATGTTTAACTGCATTGTGAATTATTCGCTTAACAAATTTTCAGTGAAGGTTGCTGGGGTGGGGTACAAGTTATTTTTCCATGGGCTTACTAGCAAGTTCCCCTTAATATAATACTTCGACATTGAGTGGGCACGAAAGAGTGAGAGTAAAATGTAACTGACATCCTCACCGTTTATATACCCTATGGTGACATCATCTGGCATTCGTATGCTCTCGCAAGTCAACAGCATCATACCTCCACTGAAATACAACAAACCACAGCAAAAGAGATTAGTGATAAGTCAAATGTAAACAGGACATGGAGGGCCTGTTGACAGGGTCAACACAAGGTAAGGAGGCTTTGTAATTAATGATATATACTTAACACTTGTCACCTTTAACGTATACCATTGTAGTATTAAGAGAGTCAATAGAAGACGGTATGATAGTGCCCTGTCCCTTATTGTAATGTCAAATTTTATTAGATGCAAGATTGCATCAGAGGTGGTACGTGACAGTTCTCAACAACCTCAGACCAACTAGGGTTTATGAGCAAATTTTAAGAATATGGCACATACAGTGCAGATGCCTGGAAATGGAACTCACACACTATCAAATTTTATGTGACAAATAAATGTGATGTCCCCATAATTGTATGTAATAATAACATGATGTGACATCATCATGACAATATATCACAATAAATCTGAAAGTGTAGGCAGAGTTTACAAATCTTTTTCTAATTGTCTTTCTAATGTGACTCAAGTTCAAGTTGTTTACCTCTCAGTCCCAACAAATCATCATGGTTGGGCCATACCTCTAGAACATTAAAAAAAATATGGCATCTCTAGATACCTGGAAATTTTAAATGATAATTATTTAATTGTTTTTATGATGTGCCCTGATTAGGAGAAAACTAGGATATGCCATGCACTTCTTGGTGTTAGGAAATGACATTCTCACATTAAAAATGTTTTTCTAATTGAATTTATGATGTAATTTTTAGATCATTTCCATCAAAAATATAAATGTTATTTAGGAGCTGAAGTTACACTGATTGCATCCCTCTCGGATTCATTCATTGAGAATGTGAAATAGCCATGAGACTATACACTATCATATACATTTAAAAGGCAAGACTTTTTTTATACCTTGTTTAACAAACCCACAAATATTGATGGTTTCAAATAAAAATTTAATTATATTTTTTGCCAATTAGCGCACCTGCCGCAACGAAAAATGGAAATTTCAGAAAAAAATAAAAGTTAAAAATTTTTTTTTATTACGCCCTCCGCTGCCTTGAAATGGCCAAAGATAAGATGTATATTTCTTCCTAATTATATAAATCTGAAGCATTTAACCATCCCATTTTACATTCGCCAATAAAATTATATTTTGATTTCCTCCACCGTCTGGATGTTTTAGCAAAACTATTTCCTAAATAAGAAAACAAAGTTTTATTTTTATTTTTATTCTGCCCTCCTCCGATGATTTTAAACAAAATAAGCATGCGAAACAAGAAATGAAAAAAGTATCGCCTTACTTTCATAAATGAAATGTATAGTGAAAAAAATTAGGGGCTTTTTTCTGCCTTCTGCTACCTACCATACATATGTATTATTAACATTATATCAATAATTGCAAATGCTCAAGCCAAACATCATAAGTGGAAATTACAGATGGGTTCCATAGTCATGTAAATATGACAATTATTGTAAGAAATAAAATTGATTATTAATAAGACACCAGAATAAATTTGGAAATAGTAAAATTCTTATTCTGCTAATGTGAAATTGCCCATCTGTCGAGAATTGTATTGGTTTAGAATGCAGTTTACAATTTTTCATGTATAGACTTAAGCCATTACATTATTTGAAATTATATGTATAATGAAAAAAATGAGGGGTTTTTTTCTGTAATTCTGCTACCATGCATACGTATTATTAACATTATATCAATAATTGCAAATTTTCAAGCCAAGCAAAAGCAAAAATTGCAGATGGCTTCCGCAGTAATGTAAATATATGACAATTATTATAAGAAATGAAATTGATTATTAATAAGACACCAGAATAATTTTAGAAATATCAGTAAAATTCTAATGTGAAATTGCCCATCTGTCAAGAATTGTATTTCTTTAGAATACAGTTTATACTTTTCATGTAAGTATAGACTTATGCCATTACATTATCATTATTTTTATTTTTGTTTTGTTTTATTTGTTTGCAAGGTTACTTATTTAAAGCATTTTTTTTTGCTTCCTTTCATTTGTAACATTTTCATTTTATTTGCTGCCACTGTATTTTTTTGCTGATAACTGTATTGTTTATGTTGATAATTGGAATAAAAGTTATTTGAATTGAATTACATTATTTGATTCACTGTATTTCTTTTCTTAAGTTTTTAGTTTTTATCAAAGTTACTTGCAGTACATGTTGAGAGTTAATAAACTATTATTGTTACTGTCTATGTGATGTGCATAATCTTAAACAATATAAATTAAATTTTTGAATTTCTGATTCATTTGGAAGACAACATTTTTATCATTTTAAATGAGCAATCATGAATATTTGCAAGATTAAAAGAAATATTATAACAATACCTAGAACAAAAAATTATGTCACATTTTATAGTAAATTTTAAAAATGATTTTATATTATTTACTTCATGCATTATTAGCAGTGGCGGCTCTAGGATATATTTTCTGGGGGGCTGAGCTGTCTGACAGGGGGGACTTGAGCTCGTAGGCCCAAGTTAGGGGAAGGGTTTTAGAGGGTGTTCCCCCTCCCAAATGAGATTTTTTAAAGGAGATGAACTTCTGGATGGCCAGAAATGACATTCTCAGACTGTGACAGGCATGTGTTGGCTTGGTGTGGGCCTATTTTTTTTTAGTCCGACTACCCAACGAGCTCTGTCCGATGGGTGGGGGGCTTGACCTGCCCACTGGTGCCGCCACTGATTATTAGAATATTATTTTACACTGCATGTTAAGCTCTATGACAAAAAACTGTGGTATGCCCATATTTGGATGTAATAGGACATCATCGTGACAATATATGTCCACATGACACAAATTTGTCACATAAAATTTGATAGTGCGGACAAACCTTTATTTTAAGGTATTCTACATAATATTGCTACTGCAAACAATTATTAAAATTAAATATTCTCAATAAAAAACGCAGAAGAGTGTCATGTGAAAACTTATTATACATTGACATTGTCTATAATAGAGGACCTGGCTAATGTTTTTATGCACTTAATTTAGGAGAGAATATCTAAGTAACTGTTATAGACTAATATGAGAACAACATAGTATGTGTGCCAAAACCTTCTTTGAAAATGATCACACCCTTTTTAAAATGGTCATGACCCCTTTTTGATTGGAAGTGTTAATTTAACAGTAGGCTAGACAATATGAACATAATGCAAACACTGTTTTTCTTTTATAAAAAAAACACATATGAAGAGGGCATCAAATGTTAGAAATCTCACTTTAAACACACGCTCCCTTTCTTATTGGAAGTGCTACTGTAAACAGTAGTCTGGCTAGACAATGTGAACATTGCAAACATGGGTTTTTACCTCCTATATATCAACACTTTATGATGAGAGGATACAATTTTAGAAGTCACACTGTGGTCGCATGTCCTGTTCATATACAAATTAGCTTAAATATGTATAACAATAGGGGAAAGCACTACTTTAAAACTGTAGGCCAGACAACCTGAACATTGCAAACAAGGGCTTTTTTTTTTTTTTTTTTTTTTTTTAAATAAATGTAAACACATATTAGTCTATAGCAGTTGAGTTATTCTCGCTTAAATTAAGTGCATACAAATTTTAGCCAGGTCCTAGACTATTAAGCACATCTTAACTTCTTTATTGTTACTTTAACTCTCACCTGGTGTACGGTACCATCTTTTTAGCCAGCGCTCGGCTTACGCAAACACCTGCACCTCCGGTACCAAACCAAAACTGGTGCTTTATCTAATGATAAAGACAGAAATATATGTCTATTATGTCAACATATACATTTCTACTTGAGACAAAAACTTGTCTGAACCATTGTTCAAGAGGGTATAAAGGGAAAAGAGTTGAACCTTTTTAAATCTCCATATTTTGAGGAATCAAGCCCACCCTGTCTCTTATACACATCTAGATGTGTATAAGAGACAGATATATATATGGGCAATAAAATATATTACATCTCTATCTGTTGAATACATGAGCCAACAAATTAGATATCAATTATGACATGTTGATATCATTTTTATATATTTACTTATGAACAGATGCCATTGCACTACTAGTTATGATTGGTTTTAGATATACTGATACAATGTTGATGTTGATGATAATAATAACAACTGTACAGTAATAATAATAATAATAATAATAATAATTTCTTTAAAGCAGTGCTCCTCGACAAAATGCCCGTCCATATAAAACTGTACGTACCGAAGGTGTCTGTGTTTTGTATGCTTCAATTGGCCTCAGTGTACTTGAGCGTCCCAGATAAATATCTTGCTGATGAGGCTGATACAAATCAAGTAATTTCCCCAATTCTACAATGTTGAGGTAGTTGTCATCATCAACGTGACAAAACCAGCTGAAGGGTAAAATGTTTGATGTCAGTGAAGTACTCTTATAATACTCTGTACACACAATCAAATTTTATGTTTCAAATTGTTGCAATGTACACATATGTAGCCATAATGATGTCATATTACACCCAAATATTGAGTGCATCACATTTATTTGTCACAAAAAATTTGATAGTGCTCTGTCCACACTATAACATTGTGATGTGCCCAAATGTACAGCAGGCATAATAATGTCATTATTACATACAAATATGAGTGTATCACACTTGTCACAAAGTTTGATAGTACTTTTATGTGACAGATTTGTGTGATGTGCCCATGTGTAGGCAAAATGATGTCATATTACACCAAACCATGGACATATTACATTTATTTGTCACATAAAATTTGATAGTATGGGACAGAGCTTAACAACATTTCACATGAATGCTTGAAGAGTTTTTAGAGTGTCAGGTTAGCATGTGACATACTCTAGTTAAGCAGTTACGAATGTGGTTGTTACGACTACGTGACAAGGTACAAATCAAAATAAAATATCGTAAAAATTGAATAGAGATGCCAGATAAAAAAAGCTGTAGAAAAATTTATGGCTTGTGCTGAGTCATTTGGCCGTAATGACTGCATTGATAGTTATGTAGTAACAAAGGATATTGCCGCAGAACTCTACTGACTGGAAACAAAGAAGTGCGAGACAATAGCAGCAACTTGAGTAGAAAGATGAGGGCATAGTTCATCAATTCACATTGCACAGACGAACAGTTTCTTTATCATTCCTACTTGCTTCCTACTTCACTTATCACTTTATTATCTCTCACACCTTTTTATTCCACTTAATTCATTTCTAGTCTATGAGTTTCGTTATTTAAAATATTAAGATAAAAAGATAGCCAAATTCAATATAAAATTAAGTATACAACACGCAAATGGTATACACACAAATTAGTGAAAAATGATAACACCACCAACACAAAAAATGAAACACCAATCAAATTTTGTTACCTTTTATTTGACGCCATGAAGTGATCAAACATGACCGCCATCTTGCAACAGAGTGCAGATCTAAAAAAGAAAATAAACATTGGTTTATACTGTATATTATCATTCTGCCAGCTTTCATGTTTATCTGTTTGTATATCTGTCTGTCTATGCATGTATGTATCTATGTATGTCTGCATTTCTGTCTACAATATCAGTTCTGTGTTGGTCTTTCTATTAATTTCCACACTGTGCATAGATAATGAATTGATACAAAGAGGCTAAACATTACTATAAATATAATAGAGAAATATTTTTAAAGAAGACACCAACCTAACATGTAAAGATCGACACTTTGTATTTATCATGTGGCCATCTGAAAAACAAAAAAAAAGTTAAGTATAAACGAGAAAGTATCAAGTGATTTGTTAAAGGATGTAAAATATATATGTGGCAAAGACAAGCCAAACCAGTCACTCGTTGCAAATCCTGTTTCGGAGATAATGGCCAAAACGCTAGAATGTCAACATTTTGGAAATCTATTTCATTGCACTTAACTATATATCATGCTACAGTATGCTGTTATTTTCCCCATTTTCAATGTTAAAACAACAATTTTTAACTATTTGGTGTTGGTTTCTGTCTATAAGAAATGCCAAAATCGTAAACTTTGAGGGATGATTTTTCAAATGTTGTTCTTTCATTTCATTTCATTAATTTATTTATTTAGACAAGTGTCTTGGGGCCCCAAAAGCAACAAAATCACCATGACAAAAGCCTGGTGCCCCAGCTGTATGTTTAAACTCCTGCAACTTCATAATGAAATTTCAGAATTTTTACCATTTTATAGCTCTCATTTTACTGTTTTACCATTTAGTAACTAAAAATCGATTTTTGCAACGAGTGACTGGTTTGCCTTGTCTTTGCAACATATAGTTACATCTTCCAGAGTAGGGAATGTCAAATGTTTGTTCAAAATTAAGGTATTAGAGGGAAGATTAGATATGAGGTAAACCTGAATAATAATAAATGCCTAAGTTAAGTGATTGCAGTTCCTAACCTTTTGGACTAAGAGAAATTTTTACAATATCAAACCATAAAATCTTACCCTTTGACACTAATCCAGATGTTTTACACTGGGACCCTGACCAGGGTACAGCTGCATGATTGAAGCCCTCCCCAACCACCCACCCTCCAATTGCAAATTTATGCAGCCACCACTTTCAAAGTTTGCACAATAACAGAAAGAGGAAAAGATATAAAATCAATACCTTCCCTTTAGAAGCTTAGCCCTTTTTAGAGATATCTTCAACTACTGCAACTCTAATTCTAATTATCTACTGAAAATCTAATCACACAAAAGATCATATCTTTGCAGATCAAACAAACTTTCAATTAAGTATTCAAACACTGACACCTCCCTATAAGAACAGTTTTTAATGAAATTGTTTAAAGTAGATTATTTTTAAAATAAAGCATATATAGCAGTAACAGACTAATCATTGTCTGTCACAAAATGTTTTTGGTAAATTTATAATTGGCGGTACACATGAAAGTGGAAGCTAAAAAAAGTCCTGATGCATAGAGTCAACAATTATTCCATTAACAAAAATGTCTGAGTTTAAGTATATCAATAAAATTAAACAGTTGCTTTTACTGTTTTTGTTAATACAATGGCTTTTGAATTGTATAATAGGATTCTTTTATAAGCCTTTGGATAAATGCAGTTACCAGTTGATTTGTTATAGACCAATGCCTTTAATTAGATTTGACAGAATGACTGATCAGAAAAGCAAAGAGAGCTGCATATTTATAACATCACTATATATCTAAGTTTTGATAAACAAATTAAAAGGTATATGAACTCTAACGGTACTACAGGTAGAGAAACTTCGTACTTGTTGGTTCAACAGGTAAGACGGTAATACCCAATATATCAAACCTACCAAGTCTAACGCACTGGACGCAAGACTCTCACATTTGGGGTCTACGACCAAAGCTATCATGCTTCAAGAACCATAACCTCACAACATAACTTTGCCTAGCTGAGAGGTTGTTTCTGTTTCTTGAACTGAAGACCCTGATTCAAACCTGGCCAGCATTAGGTTTTAACTGGCGTCTGATTACTTGGCTCTCGAATAACCCTCATATTGAGAGTTTGGTGGGTTAAGGACTATATTTGTATCTGCATGTCTTCATTATAGTTGCAGTTGAGTCGGTTGCCACCGAACTGCGGCTGCTGGAGTCCCCAGGGGCCCAACCCAAATTTCCGAAAAGAATTATCATATTATTATTATTGCTATAGACCTATAGTATTAAAAAAACGCGACAATTAGTATTTGAGGCCTTTGTGGCATTCTTACATCATCTATTGTACATAAAATGGCACCACACATTTGGACACAAATAAACAATTGCACCCAAACACTGGGGAGGGCATAGCCTAGGGAGATTCCCGAAAGAAGAGGAAGAAGAAGGAGGGGAGAGGGAAGAGAAAATGCGCTGCATGATACCTGTATAAAGTTGTAGTTTGTGTGCTTGTATTGATTTTATTTTACAATCAACTATGCCACAAAAACCTCCCCACCCTGGGCTTGATCAGTGCTTTGTACAATGCATGACCCTTACCCAGGTTCTTCTCTGTATCCGCCCCTGGGTTAAATGATCTTATTTTGATGTGGGAACATTGTTGTTATAATTCTTTTAATATATATTTTATTTTTTAACATGGAATCGATTTGATTTTACTTTATCTTGCAGTCCTGAAATGTCAAACACAAAGATTAATGTTCTTGATGAAATCGAACGGTCAGGTCCCATATTGCATTAAGTTCTACGCATGTCAATTTGGTTAACAAACACAAATTTACGATCCGGAAAAAAAGACCTCAAGTGGTTTCAATAATACATCTTTACTACTGCGTTGTATACAATTACTGAACTTTTGTGGGAGTAAACAATGTTTACTGTGTATTTAATTCTTACAATAAAAGGGACTTTTTCAAGGATTCATACCGTGGTAGTGACCTAGATATGCCAACTCTCTGAAAAACTGAGCTATTTACCGAATACATAAACCTAGATTTAATTCAAAATTTGTATAGTTCTTCTCAAAATATTTTTTATTGATACAATTCAGAAACGAACAAAACACATATTTTATTGTAGAAAACGAATTCCAAAAACTGGAATATAATGGTGTACAATATTTTTAAAACTTTATTTCCTCCAAAGTGAATTATTTTGTCTAAATTTCTTGTTTAGACCTACTAAACCATGAATGATCACCCAATTATAATTGTGGCAAAGACAAGTCAAACAAGTCACTCCTTGATTTTTAGTTATTAATACAGGGTCAAACAGTAAAATAAGAGCTATAAAATAGTAAAAGAATCATTTAAATCCAACATTCATATTTTTATTTCCTGCAATAATATTTTTCTCAAAAAGATGAATAAATATTGAAAATTTGCAGTTACATTCTTCACGCCTTGTTGAAAACTTACTGGTTTTTTGTTGGAATTCTTCATCATCTGCATCCGTAAAAAAGTAAACCTGCAAAAAAAAAAATAATAAAAACAGAAACTTTTATGTCATTATTTATATCAATAGCATCATTATTTTTTTGGACAAAATTCTAAAAAAAGCTAAAGGAAAAAGTTCTTTAGAATAATTAATATTAACATAATGTACAATATTAATTTCAAATGGGAAAAAACTGATAATTATGGAAAGATATGAAACAAACTAATTTGTTATTATTTGGTAAATTAGATTTTAGTTTGATAATTATAGACGAAATATAAAATGAACAAATTATCTTTATTTGTTATGAATGAAGATACTTCTTTCATTTCTGTTGTTTATCGAATCAAACTAGCCTACGTTTAATGGTTTGCTTGTTTTTACATTAACTACAAAATCATCCTCATTGTTCTAATTTTCTTTGTGTTTATCTCATTATCAATTAATCAATAAACAAACCTAATCAAAACAAGTTAGCTAATGGTTCATTCAACCACCATACATGTCAAAAACCTTTTCCAGCTATGGTAACAAAAGCATATGCAGAGAGCACACACTCTAAATGCTTTGCCACTCATTGCTACAACACTGCACTCTTTTGTTTTCACCTACTAACTCATTCATGCGTTACTGTATACAATTATGGGGACTCCCTCTATTGATTAGCGACTGAGTCAGTCGATGATTCATAGAAAGTAGATTACAGTGAAGCATAATGCTCAGAACAGCTGGCAAAATTAGCAGAAAAATTTATCAGGTTTATGACTAATTTGAACATAATGATTAATATTCTGTATATATACATGGGTGGAGATTATGGGTGGGGTAGTTGATACATAATATATATGTTTTAGTTATCTATACAATTTACCCAAGGAGATACACTAAGATCCAAATATTATTAATATTTTTACTAAACATTTAAAATGTTTGAGATCTGTGGTAAAATTATTGAAATTGTGAAATACATGTAAGATAGTAATAGTGATTAGATAACGCCTTTGTAAAAACAGGTTGCTGTTTATCTAGGTTATAATTACTGTCTTTGAAATTCCAACTCAGTGATTCAGCAGGTAAAATATAGTTGGATGGTTGTATTCAAAGAATCAAAGAACAAAGGAGTTGAAAGGCTTCGGAAATGGATCCAAAATAAACAGTGACAAGTTGTTCAATTGAAAAGAAAAGATCTTTATCATTTATTGATTCTAAAAACATTGCTCAACTCAGTTCTTGTGAACATATTGTATTTATTTTATTCTCATCGAAGATCATTTGACTAACCAGGTACAGGATGGTAGCTATTATAGTGATATATATAGGCCTAATAAAGATGGCTTTTTTTCATTGTTAATTTGTTCTATTAAATTTTTAGAACTTATCGAAAAACAAATCCGTCACTAGGACTGGATGGCAACAAGGCCAAATAAAAAACAATATTGTGTTGGCCACGCCCAAATGACCCAAAAATCTACGAAATTTAGGTTCGGCATTTTATTTTATTTTTTTTACTACAACGAAAAATATCTTTTTAATGAGCTAACAAGGCTGGAATAGGTCTATCTTGCTGAACGAAGGTGATGCGACAGTGTTATGCTATCATTTTGCTTTCAATATAAATTTTAAAATGGTCTTTGTTGCATTTGTGTGCATTTTCTACTTTTTAAGAATAAGCACATTACTTTTCATACCGACCTACCCATTTTTTTTATTTTCACAAAACGTGGCCAACACAAGATTCTATTTTTTTTGGAGCCCTATCCTTTTTTTAATCAAAACACATCTTTTTAGTTACCATTAACTTAGA